AGTTACAAATAATAATGGCCAATGGTTTGGCGATAGTACAATTAAGGGCATTTCTGTCCACGTATCATTTGACCTGGTTCATGTGCTCATATTTAGTTTGGAATTTTGTTTGAATTGCAAATGAATCGTATTCTCTATCTCCCTCTCAATACACTTCGAACGTTTCAATTCAATTTTCAATTAAACCTCTCGTTCACGTCTCTTTCATGCAAATACCTGCAATGATGTTGTAAATGCTGATACAATTTCATATACGATCTCATATGAATGGCCTGATTCTGGTTTAAACGGTGTTAATACGTACTGTAGACCCAATAGCGGCACTAACAACAGCGTTGCACTGAATAAAACGGAAGAGAGAAAAAAAAAATGGAAAAAAGAAACAATGAACAATCAAATACGGCAGAATATTGGTTGAAAGCAATCGAAAACCAAATCAGTGAATTTGCATCTTTCAGATATTGCAGCCGAATTAAAAAGCATCGAATTGATATTGTTAATGTTCAAAAGGTCTCTTGAGTGATAGAGGGGTAGAGAGAGACCAAGCGATAGAGGTTAAAACAAAAGTAATGGTGTGGCTCTCTTAATCAAAATAGATGCTGATTGAGGATTATGGGATGAAAATGACAACAACGATGCATTTTACCGAAACGCTTGCAATATATTCCGTGATGGTGCTCCACCTTGTGGTCCTGCTGGTGCTCGCAATTTCATGAATAAAACCCGAACGATGTTGCAGAGAAACAGTAAATTCATCATCATTGATATACAAACGGGCGCAACAAGTATGTTATTGTACGGCGTATCGGTCATCCAACAACTGTAGAATGTATATGTATTTGAGTACGTGGCGCGTCGTGCACATGTGTATTGTGGTTCGAGTTTTTAAGCCGTTGTCAAAAGCCATTGAATGACAACGACGATGTAGACGACGTTAGTTATTCCATTCCACAAAATTCCATTAACAAGAAGCCATAAAAGATGGAAAGCAGCGCGGAGAACAGCATCCACGGAAGAGAGAGGCAGAAAAAATTAAATAAAAAACCGGAAAATTAATTAGAACAAATATAACACTCTCATATTTCAATTACATGGTTGATCTAATTGCTAAAATTTTAAAAATTCTCTTTTAAACAATTTCGGTTTTCCTTTGTTGCTCGACTTTTTTTACAACAACCATAATTTTCGTTTTAATAATGAAACACGCGCATGTGTAAAATGTTGAAGACGTAGTCTTTATGTGATGTAAGCACTTTGTGTCTCATTCATATTGTTCACCATAAATGATTCAATTTACGTCTTCGCAATTTCTGAACATAAAATGAAAGATTAAATCGTAATTTTGTGTGACAATAATTGAAATATGCTTGTTTCTCTATTTAATCATTTCGCCATTTTCCACATCCGTCAATTGTACAAATCCCGTTGTAAATCATTTTAAAACAGTTGATTTATCATTTTTAATACTGCAAGCATTTTCGTTGTTCTTATTTTAAACTCGTTACGAGTTGGTTTATGTTGAGAAAGCGTTAAAATATCTTTTATTCACCAAATATACATATATAATGAATATCATGCAATGGCTGTGTATGTTTACATGAAATTTGTTCGAAATGTGTGAATTACTGGAAAGATATGCAGATATTTTTGGATTTAATTTGAAAAATTTAAATTTAATTAAATGCTGAACTGTTTATTATTATTTTAAAATATCCGCCAAACTACAGATATTCTTAAGAATTTTGCACATTTTTCATAATTTCCGGATAAAATTGGGATTTATTAGCGATT